TTGACCGAGTAAGAATGGTAACCTATAAAAAGCTTGTGTATATGGACGGTGTCATACTGACCACATAAATACGTAAGCTTTAGTAGGATTGGAAGATTGTAACTTTCCAGTAATAATGATGTTTGCGAAAAAAATACCTGAGGGCAAATTTTGTGCAGCAATATTTTTCTTTAGATAATAGCGGAACAATGGAGTAATGGCTCCTATCTTTTTGTAGGTCCTATGATACGTCTCGAAGTATTTTTAAAGGTGAAACTGAATTCAGATCCTTCACTCCGTGAAGCTCATTTTGGAAAGCCGTTATGATGAAATGAATCTTTACTTTCATAGACTACCTGTGATATCCCTTTCCTTTTAGAAGATATGAATTTATGTTGACCCATTAGCTACTAATGTATAGATATTTTGTTGTAGTCACGATTATGCCCGTACAGCACTTGAAAGTGACCCATCGAGAAGAAAATTTTCTTCACTTAGTTTTCATCTGTTAGTTCAGGAAATACTGTTCTCAAAACTATTCATTGATGGCACAGTTAAGCCCAACCCTATACGAGAGATCCAGAGTCAAAATGTTGTTTGGATGGAGTGGCTTTTACGAAACCCAGAAGGGAAACGTGAACCGGATGCTTCAACCCACTGTAGGTTTGCTAGTATGTCACAAACGTTCTGATTTGGTCTTGAAGTCCTTCTATAACTTTCGTGGAGCGAAATCCTGAATTTACGGTCTAATCGGATAAAAACACTACTTTACCACGAATCGGGTTACTTTCGGGAAGTGCCACACTTAGTACACTCACCTCTCTTTTACCACCTGGAGTTTGGACCAGCTAATTCATCACACTGGACGCCCGGTTGTGATATGTATGAATGACGGTGAGAAGCAAGTAGATACTAATTATATCCCATTTTTACTTGGACAAGCAGCATTTTATTTCTTAAACGATTTAGAACCAGAATGTTAGCATGAATAAAAGGTTACAGGGCTACCGTAACTGTCGGTTGTGAGGTTGTCAAGGGAATTGTACACCCAACGTGATTACGAAGCTGGCTAGCAAACATTTTTCAGATTCAAGCGGCAGGTGACGGCGATGGTAACATTGATAAGCTGGTAAAGGGGCATAACTGGATAACTAGAACGCTCACGAGCCACTTAGTCGCCTTTTATGGCCCACCAGACGAAATGCGAGGTCTTAGATATAAAGTGGATGCAAGCGTAGGAAATATTACTCAGAGAGAATTTGACGTCAAAGTTGCTTATCCGGCCAGCGCCGATAACGAATATCCATATTATCAAGGGAATGTCTATCTTAACCAGCATAGACTTAGAAAGTACGTAAGCTACCACAGTTGCCGCAGGGCTACAAGACCACTGCAGGCGACTCAAGGAAGACAGTGAACTGTTGATTTGCAGCGGCTTCAGGGGTTACTGCAGAGCAGATGGGCTGATTGCTGTTCCCTTTCCGCTGCCGAAATTGGTGTGCATCACAAAATTATACGAGTGTCAGATGCTAATTTTGGTGCTGTCTCCTCTAGAGCTATTAAATTCACTGTGAACAGAAACCACAGTTGTTGACAGTGATCTTGTGTACTTCTTGTACTTGACCGCTTATTTCGGCATATAATCCACTATTTGTGAACATCATTTCCTATTTCTTTTCTTGTTGATAAAATCAGGAAATGTTGGACCTGAACAAAAAATCTTTCATGCGAAACCCGGCTTAGTGTGCTACGGATGTTCGCATGACTATTGGACAGATGGTAACTGTACATTCTATCAGCTGCATTGCTAGCGAGCTCACTTTCCACATTCAGATTCTCATCTATTGCATCGATTCGGTAGCGATTACACAGGACCTGTAAGCTACTGATACCATATAAGGCTAACGTTTTATGGTTCTTCATACCGGAAACCTTGAGAGTAAAGTCCTCTAGCCTCCCTTATTACCATTTGAAGGATGAGACACTCAATGTTTCCTGACAAAGTTGTAGCAGCAAATTGTCTGCTTTAACCAACTGATTATTTACAAAACATGTAACAATCATATAGTTGTCTCTGAAAAGCCAGTAAATACCACGCGAACAGGCGTGAGTAACCACTTACACCCCGCATAACCTTTACATTTTGAGAAGTGCTGGCAAGTCCCATTACTTGAGATTTCAAGCAGGCGAATAGTACACAAAAATGTTGGAGGTCGTTGTATACATTCTGCCTGCAGTGAAAAGTTTTATCGGGTGTTGGCCTGTGTCAATCCTCACAGTAACTATCCCTGTGAAGGACCAGGTTCCGTTAATGATACTAGCGAAGAATCTGATTTCACTTGTTAGTGTAATGTTACCCATGCTGAATTTAATAAATTATTGTTATTCTCATTAATGTGATAAATGAGCTCCAGTAGCTGATCCCTCCTTAGGAGAGCTGTTACTCCACTAAATGGTTCAACCACGGCCTTTCAGTCATTTTTGAAAACCTGTGAGGTGAGTTGTGCTACAGAAGTGAAGAAATTAGATGCATCAACACCTTAGTCGGTTGTCTGACCATTTATTTAATATCCATCAGAAATCTCACTCCGAATTGACGTAACCGCACGTTTCCAGATTCTGTTGTGTGGGCTGTTCAATCGGTTCGACAAAGCCAGCTTGGAAGACAAACCAGTCGTTGTCATTTTGAATAATCCCTCACAACTCGCCCCACGTTACGAGAAGTATGTAGATCGCATTGGCTGTCGGACATATTGAAACCACCTGCAATTATTTTGCAGCCAAAGTTGGAGGACGAACCGCGTTTAAACATGTTACCAATGCGGTATACTAGTCAGCTGTCTGAGTTAAATGGGCGATATGAACACCCTAAAAACGGTGTGGTGTGACCTAAGGTAACGGGTATGACTCATACGGAGCCGGGCACTTGTGCTCGAGAATCTTCATCTTACATTGAAGAGTATGAACTTCTTGAAAAAAATAATGCTGCAACCTTCTTTCTGGATATCTCCCAGTGTTCGGAAATGGATATGGCAGGCAAAGCTTATCAACATGCCATCAAAATCGGATGGTATCAGCAACACGGATGAGTAACAGAAAGGTAGGAAACAGTGCATACGGAAACGTTTTTGTCGACAGGGGGGATTAATTGGAATGAGTGTAAAACTGCTGCCATGGTTTACAAGAAGCTCTGAAAAGTAACTAATTGATTAATGATAAGCATCGAAGGGGGCTTCAGATGGATGAGATGTTGCAGATAAAGGTTGTATCGGCGCGCCTACCCTTACAGGGTCACTTCCAAAGTTTATTTTATTATTTTTTATTATTAGTCCCTTGGGTTCCTAGTGGAACATAGGGCTTCAGTAGCACGTCTCCAGTGACCTCTGTTCTCTGAGATCTTTTGAACCTGGTTCCACGACAGCCCAGAAGCTCTTATTTCCTCCTCGCATGACCTCCTCCATGTCACCCTCGGACGTCCAACTCGTCGCTTCCCATGGGGATTCCACTCGAGCAACTGGCCTGACGCGTGATGTCCTCAGTCGGCCTTCTCAGTGCATGGCCAATCCATCTCCACTTCTTCCTGCATATTTGTTGCGTGATAGGTTCTTGGTTGGTTCGTTCCCAGAGCTCCTTGTTGCTTATTCTTTCTGGCCATCTGATCTTCAGTAGCGAGCGTAAGCAGTTATTGATGAATGTCTGTAGTTTATTGGAAATCCCTTTCGTGACGCGCCAAGTCTCTGAACCATACAGGAGCACTGACTTGACTGGGTTGGTGTTGAAAATCCGTATCTTGTTCACGCTGTATGCTGAGTGCAGAAGATCTCCACACTGGTTTCAGGCTAATGAACACCTGTCTTGCTTTCCCGATTCTGACTTTGACACCCTCATCTGTGCCTGTGCTGCCTGTAGTTGAAACAGTGCTTCCTAGATAAGTGAAGGAGGTTACTTCCTTTAAGTTTCTCCCGTTGTTGTTGTTGGTGGTGGTGGTGAGGTATCTTCATCACTTCCGTCTTCTCTATATTCACCTGAAGGAAGTCCCGTCTTCGCTGCCTCTTCTATCAACTTGTTAGTTTTTGCCTGCAGGTCTTCAAGTTTATGTGACATCAGGCACAAGTCATCGTTGGCGAAATCCAAGTCTTCTAGGTTCTTTTCCGCCGCCCAGTGTATCCCCCTCTTCTCGCTGCCTACTGTTTGCTGCATGATCCAGCCGACCACAATCATGAATATCATGGGGGATAGTAGGCAACCTTGTTTCACTCCTGTCTTCACTTCAAAGGCATCACTGAGCTTCCCATCGTGAATGACTTGGCATGTTTGTCTTCATATAGTTGTTGAATGAGGCTGATAAAGGTTTGCGGTACTCCGTAGTATTGAAGCAGTTTCCAAATTACTCCTCGGTCGACGCTGTCAAAGGCCTTCTCAAAGTCGATGAAGTTGAGGTAGAGGGCTGATTGCCATTCTATGCTCTGTTCTATGATGATACGAAGCGTTGCAATTTGGTCTGCACATGATTTGTACTTCCTGAAACCTGCCTGTTCCGGTCGTAGTTTTGAATCCAGTGCATCTTTAAGCCTCTCTAGGATGATGCGGCTTAATATTTTACTTGGGGTGGACAGAAGAGTGATTCCACGCCAGTTCTTGCAAGCACTGAGGTCTCCCTTCTTTGGCAGTTTGACAAGGTAACCCTTCTTCCAATCGTCGGGTACCTTCTCTTCCTTCCACACCTTCTGCAATAGTGGTGTGGTGTGAGCATGTCCGCTGTTGTCTCTGCATCTGTTCTCAGTGCTTCTGGCGGTATCCCATCTGGTCCTGCTGCTTTCCCGCATTTCAGTAGCTTTATGGCGTTCAGGACTTCCATTTTCGTTGGGGGATTAATGTTCACTTGTAGTTCTGTGGCTGCAGGTGGTATTTCTGGACGAAGCGCAGGTGGTGGTCGACTCAAGAGCTTCTTGAAGTGGTCGGCCCATCGTTTCCTCTGTTTCTCTTCTTTTGTAATTAAACTTCCTTCTTCATCTTTTATTGGTTTCATCTGTGTTGGTCTCTTCCCTGATAGCAACCTGGTTATTTGATACAATGTTGTCAGGTCTCTCTTACCTGCAGCCTGTTCTGCTTCACTTGCCAGTGTTTCGTAGAAGTGTCTTTTGTCTTTGCGTGCACTCTTCTTCACTTCTTTGTCCAGTGTTTTATACATTGTACTCAGTTCCTCTTGTCGTTGAGCATCCTTGCACTGGTTTATCTTCTGCTTCACCATCCTCCTCTCCCTGCTCTATCAGCTTCCAGGTATCCGTCGAGATCCATTCCTTATCTTCTTTCTTCTTCCTTCCTAATACTGTTGTGCAGGTTTCTTTCCACATAGCTTTCAAAGACTTCCAGTGTTCTTCCACACAGGTTTCTTCAGGGATGTTGCTCGATGTCTCCCATTTTGTCTTGATGGCTGACATGAAGATGTCTTTTGTAGTTTCATCCTTCAGTTTCCGAGTGTTGTACTTGAGTTGAGGTCTATCACCAGCTTCCTTGAAGGCTTTTAACTTGATTTGGAAGGTTCCTTGCACTAGACAGTCAGTGGTGTGAACCTACATCTGCTCGTCTTCTTGACCTTGTGTCAAGTAGGCTGACTGCGTCTCCATTTTCTTGAGATTGAGATAAAGTCGATTTGATTTTTAGTGTGTCCATCTGGTAAAATCCATGTCGCTGGCTCTGTGGATATCTTTGTGCTTGAACACACTGCCTCCAATCACCAAATCGTTGAATGCGCAGAATTCTGCAAACAATTCTCCATTCTCATTCATTTCACCTAGCGCCTCTCGACCCATGGTTAGTTCTCTTCCCGTGTTGTCCCCTCCCAGTTTGGCATTCATGTCGCCCATCAGAATTTTGATATCGCCAACTGACGTCTTGTCCAGTGTTGATTGAAGTTGTCTGTAGAAATCCTCCTTTTTCTCTTGCTCTGCATTATTTGTAGGTGCATAACATTGTATGATTGTGACCTTTCTTCCTTTTGAGTTGAATCTTGCTGTCATGATCCTGGAGGAGATTGGTTCCCACTGCATGAGAGCCTTCGATGCTGTTGGGGACATCATGATAGCCACTCCATAACTCAGTGTGCTCGTGGTTGGCGTCTGGGTGACCGGAGTAGATTATTGATTCTCCAGTTGACAGTTTGGAGAGTCCACTCCCATTCCATCTGCTTTCGCAGATCCCAAGCACTTCGATGTGATACCTTCTCATCTCCTTTGCAATCTGGGCTGCCTTACTGGGTTCAAACATCGTGCGGACATTCCATGTCCCCACGTTTACTTTCGCTTTCATCTGTGGAGAGAAGACACATCGGCCAATTGGCTTCCCGAAGGCTTTCACCAACTGGCGTCATTTCGCCTCTCCGATTCCAGCAGGGAATAAGTTTGTTTTCATTTTTTATATTTTGTTTGTGCTTTGAAGTTTCTTTAGCAGTTAGATTTGTTTTACGGGGTAGGGTTGCTAGCCCTATGCCCAACCTTCCCTCTTTACCCGGGCTTAGGACCGGCTAGTAACTAGTGAACTAGTTAACCAGGCGAGGTTCACTTCCAAAGTTACTGTTGGCCAATTCGGAATATTTGGTTGAGTGGCATTTTCACTGACATGCGCTAACTAGTGCTGTGGTTCAGGAAACCCTTAGTTCTGCCACAAGTGTATGGGGTGGATGGTAGCCTGAGGGGCTCGTTGGGAGCATGACGTCATTCCGCTTTATGTGGCCTTTCGTAATCAGGTTTAGCATGTGACCGACAATCATGTGAACCTCCCAACTTGCCGAAAGTGCCACCAATTCTCTTGCGGGGTTTAGAAATTTTCAGGAGGTTCAGGAACACATGTTACATAGAACGCCAGTTAAATCTGGTGGTAGATCCATTACAGTGGCTACTTTTACCAGTTGCGAAGGGATTTCAGCGAGATGTTTGCCGATGGCTCAATTCATTAACTGAATACTAAGTTTTAAAAGCAAATCATAGTGGGCGACACATCACCAGTCGCTACATCCGTCACTGACGACAGTTAGCGGAGCGGGAAGTTACCTGCAATCACTTACCTTCACGCTAAACTCCCTTGGGCTTTTTTCAGGTTATACGCTCATTTAGCGCGAAGGTATGTCGAACACAAAACGTGAGCACTCTTTATTCGCGTAATCACCAGTGTAAACCTGTGTCCTGGGGAATAGAAAACACTTGTGAGAAAATAGGTACGAGTACCGGCATATAATTTCTTAAATATAATGAGTTGCTGTGCATCACGAGAACAGAATGCCTGGCAGCACTGAATGACGCAGGTTCTGACCACCGGGCGACTCGGCGGAGGTTGATGGCGAGCGCCATGAAGAATACCGTCACTTTAGTTAGTGTGGCTTCGTCTCTACTGAAGTGCCGGACAGTATTTGTGAATTTCAGTGTGATCGAAGCAACTGAAGGTCAAATCTGGTGACCTGAACTCAAATCCAGTGAATATGAGAGTCTTTGCTTGAAGAGCTGCCTCTAGAGCGTTACTTGCACTCTGGGGATCCTTTGTTGCGATTAAATGAATGAGTGGGTGATTAAGGCGTTATATATTTTAGCCACTTAGCTTATACAGAATATGGTCAGCAATTTTGCCTGAAAGCATGCAACGAGTCCACCTGTCAAGATCAAAACCTATGTATTCTGGTTAGAACGCAGTTTGCAGTTCACAAGCATTTTCGAACGGATCAAAGGAGATGAATATTCAGTTTCTGCGTGGTGCGCTTCGCTTTCCGTAGCTGCGCGCAGAACGGAGCACGATTGGTATGATTTTTCCGTGGTACTACGCAATGGTAGTACAATGCGCAAGAACGAGATACCCTAACAACGTCGTCTCTGCACTATCCAAACAACAAGAACCTCCGTGTTGCGGAACAATTATTATGGATGGCAAAGAGATTTAGTTGACAGCGGGGGTTTTATACTCCAAACAAAACGGAAACGTTCCCAACCGAAGGTTTACATATCCTTTTTCGAAAGTCAGATCAAACGAAAAGAATGTCTGAAGCAGGCAATCAAACAGAGACACATAAAACGGCCTGGTACACAACCTTCAGCGAAGTGGAACAATACTACCAGGTAAGTAGAACAAGACTTCGAATCAGTCAGCAAATTATAGCAGAACAAACTGAAATACAAAGGCCGATACAAAAATAAATTTGGCGAGAGTGGAGAAACTGATAGAAATGCTCCGGACGCTGGTAAGCAGCAAAAATCGAGAAAAAAGCTACAGGTGCGTGTTCATAAACAGGCACGAGAAAGGAACATCGAAAGCAAATGTAGCAGCAAGTCATTTAAGTGTGATACACTGTTACCTTCCATCAAAGTTCTTCTGCCATTCAGAGCGCAGCCACTCGATTTTCGGACTAAAGCAAGAAGTTACCCATTTATAATAGTCTCAAAGGACCAAAGGATGAGAACCACGGACAGTCCCACTCAGTAGAAACGTCGGTCACAGCACTGGGACTGCAATTTTTCACTCACACTAGTCAGGTCCCGACCAAAAACATGTAACCCATCCGAATAAGAGTGTCTTCTACTTCCTTATGAAACTTAGATTTTGCCGCTTTTCCTAAAACAGGGAGAATTGGACTGTCATATTCATACTTTAGAAGGGTAGAAGTGGGCCAGTGATTTTCAGATGGACTCTAGCAAACCGTGAATGTTGTGTATCAAACGTTTTGAGGGAATTAACATCAGCTTAATTTATCTTGGAACTCTGGTACTGAATATGCGCTGGAGCCTGCCTTCGAGCAACATTGTTGTTGCTCGGCCAGAACAACTGAGCTGCCATCAGCGCAAAAATACTACTGATGTCAGGTTGTAAGACACTTGCTGGAGCTTTAATGGCAGACTTAGACGGCAGTGAACAACAAGTTTCAAGCTTTCTGCAGACATGTCAGACGGGTTCCTACCTAGTGTATTTCATTATTTTTCCCTTGGGTTCCTAGTGGAACATACAGCTTCAGTAGCACATCTCCGTTGCTCTCTCTTCTCTGCAGTCTTTTGAACCTCGCTCCACGACTGCCCACAAGCTTTCATTTCTTCCTCACATGATCTCCACGTCAACCTCAACTCGGACGCCCAACCCGTCGTTTCCCCTTTGGATTCCTCTCGACGACCTGGTCTGGCACGTGATGTCCCCAGTCGGTCTTCTCAGTGTATGCCCAATCCATCTCCACTGTCTTCGACTGCATATTTGTTGGGTGATAGGTTCTTGGTTGGTTCGTTCCCAGAGTCCCTTGTTGCTTGTTCTCATTATTCTGGCCACCTTATCTTCAGTATCGAGCCAGCGTAGGCAGCTGCTGATGAATATCTGTAGCTTGTTGGAAGTACTTCTCGTGACGCGTCAAGTTTCTGAATCGTCACATAGAAGCTCTGATTCGACATTGGTGTTGAAAATCCGGACCTGATTCTTTGTGCTGGGTGCAGTAGATCTCCACACTGATTTCAGATTAATGAAAGCCCTTCTTGCTGTCTTTCCGATCCTGGTTTTGACATCCCCGTCTGTGCCTGTGCTGCCTGTAGTTGAAACGATTCTTCCTTGCCTAAGTAAGTGAAAGAGACCACTTCCTTTGGGTTTCTCCCGTTACTGGTGATTGGTGCCTCTTGTTTTTGATGCTGTTGTTGGTTGGGTATCTTCACCTCTGTCTTCCCCACATTCACTTAAAGTCCCATCTTCTCTGCTTCTTCTGTCAAGTTGTTAGTTTTCGCCTGTAGATCTTCGAGTTTCTGCGACATTGGATATAAATCATCGGCGAAATCCAAATCATCTTCGGGCGTCTTTTCATCGGTCCAGTCAGCTTGTAACCATTTGCCAGCTTCTCACCGTTTGCTGCATGATCCATTCCAGTCGACTTTAATCAAGACGATCATCCCGAGACTGAGATGAATTTAATCTGATTTTAAGTGCAGTGTGTCCATCTGATGAAATCCATTTCGCTTTGTTGGTATCTTTGTGCTTGAACACGGTGCCTACAATCACCAAATTGTTGAATGCGCGAGATTCTGCCAGTAATTCTCAATTCTCTTTCATTTCATCAAGCGCTTCTCAACTCATGGTTAATTCCCTTCCTGTGTGTTCCGCTCCCAGTTTGTTATTCATGTCACCCACTCGAATTTTGATGTCGCCAACTGAGGTCTTGCCGAGTGTTGATTGCATTTATCTGTAGGATTCCTTTTTCTTTTCATCTGCATTATTTTTAGGTGCGTGGCATCGAATGATTGTGGCTTTCCCTTCTTTTGAGTTGAACCTTGCTCTCATGATCCCGGAGGAGGAGATTGGTTCCCACTGCATGAGGAACGGAGGGCCTTCGATGCTGTTGGGACGTCATGACGGTCGCCCGAAATCTCAGTGT